GGAATATATGATATATATATAGAAAATATGGTTAAATAAAGATCAGTTCAGCAGGTCTCTTGACCAACGCCTACGTAATCATCAAGGTGGGCTGTACGGGTTTCTAGTGCGTTTAAGATTTTTTGTCAGAGAATTTATGTTGTAAGTTAGTCTTCGGTGAAAGTTATTGTAGTTTTCTTTTGGGGTGTCTAAAATTGTTGGGATGCTTAAGTCTTTTATGTAATATATCGTTGGCGATATAAAACTGTCCTTCGCAAAATTTTGAACTGGAAAGACTGGATTTTTTTTAATATTGGAAGCTTTAGCAGAATCCCACAGTTCTATGTCATAAGTCCAAATTGGTTGAAGTAAAACTTTATAGTTTTATTAGTCAAAGATAATTTTGAACGTATGTCAAGTAACCTAGATAAAAAGCCGTATCGTCTGTTTAATTCTATCCGTAATATTGAAGGAACGATATCGAAGTAGATGCTATCTATGGTAAAATATCGAATATCGGAAGAAAATATCGATATTTCGATAATATCGACCATTGATGGCCATCCTTGATGAGTGGTCTCACTGAGGTATACTAATATAACAATAATAATATAATCAAAGAAAAAATTAATATAATTAATTGTAATTTCTTTAAAAAAATTAAATATTAAAGTATCATTTTACTTGAAAACTTACGATATGTTTTTCTTATGTTGCAGGTAAGTTCATATGAAGGCTGTTGCTCTGCGTTTAGTATGTACAAAGTTTTTTTTATTTTAATATTATTTTTGTAATGTTTTTGGTAATTACCAACTTGGTCTTGTGCCTAAATTTACTAAATTTTTAATTAAATTTAAATATTAAAATATTATTATTTTGGAAGGTGATCAATTAATTGCACAGTTTAACTCACTAACTTCGAGGTTTGTTTATTTTGAAAAAAAAAAAATATATATATATAATGAATTTTTCCATTGTAAACTGTTTGCAAAAACTGTGGATGATAATTTAATCAAGCTTTTCAAATCCAGCTGTGATTCATTTAGCCACAATACAGCAGTACTGGGAATCCCATCCCGAAATGGCCAACATAAGGTCATGGAATTTATACATGGCCGGATCAGGGACGTTGTTGACGAAATTTCTGAGAATTTTATATTAATCATTATTACCATAATTTATATTCAGTATCCTTTATTTAAGGAAACCCAATAGCTAAAGTTTCTAATCTGACTAATTTAAAATTTTTAGATTTTATTTATTTTAGGAATGCAGGAGGAATTCCCTTTCCTGTAGAACTAAATTTTTTTTTGCAAAAATTTTAATTTTTTAAAACAAAATTATATTATGCTACAAAATTTTATCCCAAACAAAACAAGGCTTGTTTTATACTACCACGAAATAATTACTTATTTTACAGTTCGATATTTTTTTTTGATTAATCGATATTTAAAAAAAATGCCTAAGAGGAAAGCCTCACAAGTTATCAGTTAAAAATGAGAAACTATTTAAACCATAAACATGAAACATATCGATTTAATTAATTTAATTTTTAAATGTTGAGCAATTTAATTAATTTTTCTCTCATTCATTTAATACCGAATTGGCTTCCATCCTTTTTAATTTTTTGTTTATTCTTAAGAATATTTATTGATTTTTTTTTCTATTCACAGTTTTTTTCTATTTTAGTTCTTAATATCTTCTAGTTTCTTGAAATAATTTTTTCTTCGTGTTTATTTTTTTATAATAACGATGTTATTATTTAATTAAATTTATTAAAAACATTGATATCGCGAAATATCGATTTATTTATTTGTCCATTTGACGTATTCGATGTATCATTTCTTATTTCATTGCTTTAATTATAATTATAATATGCAGTAATTATAATATTGTAGAGCTGTATATGTATATTGTTATTTTGTTACCCCTTAGAAAGATAATTTTCTGATGAGTGTGATAACAATTTGGAACCTGAACTTCTGATACTCTTTATTCATTTTTCTGAATTATTTAAATTTTATTTTCGCTTATACAAATGGTATACACTTCTATGAAATTACAAGGAGAGATGGGTTTTATAAATTTTTCAATAACGTGTTGTTTATTTTGTTCTCAAGGTCTGGGCGTTTAGACTAAAATTCAATATATTTTTTTATCATATGCAAAGTAATTGACATGTGTTAGTTACTGATAACATGTTATCATCATCGATTTTTTGATAAGGTAATAAGTGATAAGATTTGCCTTGTAGAGTGTTAAGGATTTCCATTACATTGCGATACATTGCTGTAATTTAGTCGTAGTAAACAGATAAAATGATTTTTAGCATTTTTATTTTTAAATATAATTTTTACTTACAATTAGTTCATAGTTGTTATAGATAGTAAAATGTTAGAGCAATTTTTCGTTAGTAATGCGTTACTATGTTATGCGATTAGAAAAATACTGACCGACTTTTAAAATAATGCATTTTGATGTTAGATGCGATGAATCTATCTACTGTCAGTATCCTAATAGTTTTTCCAATTTATATTTGTTAGTTTTAAGATTTAAAAGGAGGTCCTTGAAATTTACCAAAAAAACATTTTAAAGTTTAAAAAAACAAACTCAAATTCTCGGAAAAACCAGTTTATTTTATTTTCTTCAGATGTATTTTGGTTTACATTATTTATTTAGATATCATTCTCAGTCCAAAGGAACCTAGCCCTAAAACCACTTTAAAATAAAAAAAAAAAAAACGAATTATTTTCTCCTTGACTAAGAAAATATATTTTAACTGAAATCAATTAACACGAAATGCTAATTAAGTTATTCTTGTCGTCAATACTTCTTTTTTTTATCTTGTTAACCAGGTTTGAATATGTAAATTGTAAGACATAACAAAAACTGACATATATGACATTCATCCAACTTTGAACTTTTTTTCAAACATCTTTCTCTCTTTTTAGACTATATACAGTTTTTCTGGTTCATGGTAGAGAGCGGGGGATTAGTACCAGAGTTAAAAAGTCTCCTGGCACCGGAACGTGATCTCGCAATTATTTTATGAACTTCAGTTTATCGGTTTCAGACTTCATTGGACGAAAGCACATCAAATTCTTTGACAGCCTTTACATTATTAGAATTCACCCGGTTTAGTTGTTCTTCAGAAATCCTTTCCCATCTCTTTCGGATACTTATAATTTACCAAAAATTACTTTAAAATTCATGGAATTATGTAAAAGTGGTATATATCAACACCATATTCAATGAAGTGTAGAAAAAACAACTAAGGTGTGTGTGTTTTAGACCACACGATAGAAGTGAAAAAAATCAACAAGGCGAGATTAATAATACGAAGTGTAAATTATAAATAATAGCTCATTATGAAGAGGATGAAATGCTGATTAATTCCCTCGCTTACAGTATGCTGGTCCGCATTTTAGTTTCTGAGATATATTAATCCATACCTTTCATAGAACTCGTTATCATTTGGTTTTGACACCATTTTTCCTTTTCCTATAGGACTTCCGATTATTATTTTTCGAGTTTACCCGAGCTTTTCACATTTTGGGACAGTTAGTTTCCTTTTCAGAAAGAGTTACGAAAGAAGTCCAGAGAACAAAAGCGTTTGGTTGGAACAAGTTCTGGTCTCTGAAGTATATAACAAAAGGAAACATAAGTATCAACCTAAAAAGGCTAGTTTTCGATAGATGTATTATGCCAGTGGTGACCTATGGCTCCCAAACATGGTCATTGAAAAAAGCCCAAGAGAGGAAGATCAAGGTGTGGCAAAATAGCATCGGGAGAAGCATTATGAAAGTAAAGAAGATAGATAAAATCGGAAGATAAAAGAAGAAACAGGGCTCAAAGACACACTCTCGCAAATAAGAAAAGGCAAATGGAAATGGGTTGGACATCTCCTGCGATGCAATGACAATAGATGGTCAAAAATAGTCACCGAATGGACTCCATATGACCGGAAAAGGATGAGAGGCCGACAAATGAAGAGATGGAGAGATCCATTTAGGCTTTTGGCAGGACCTCTCTGGTGGAGAGCAGCTAGGGACAGAGATGTGTGGAAAGAAAAATGGTTAAAGGTCAGAAATCCCGCTTCCCAGTAGGGCTAGTCACCCAGGGAAGTGTTAAAGACTATTACTCCTAAGGGAAGGCCTATGCAAGAATAGTAAAAAGTTTTTTATAAATTATAATAATGTAAAAAAATTATTTTGTTTTTCTTTTGTAATTGTATGTTTTCATAGAAATTGTAATATTTATGCATAAATAAAGGCTATTTTCATTTCATTTCAATCTATATACAAAAAAAAATTCAATTAGTCGACCCTAGCCGAGTTTACCCGAGCTTTACACATCGGAGATCTGTCGGCGTAATCTAATTCACTCTCCATACAAAAACTGCAAAACGCGCTTACAGAAGTTTTTAAAAGGATTTTCTATTTAATTTTAACTCACGATCCGAATGGCTAAAGTCTATTAATAACATTTAATTTTTATCTAAGTTCAATACTTATTTTTTCATCTGACTTAGTTATATTTTATGTTTGTATTTTTTTCTAAACATTTCCTGGTTGGTTAGCTTCTCTCTCTCTCTCTCTCTCTCTCTCTCTCTCTCTCTCTCTCTCTCTCTCTCTCTCTCTCTCTCTCTCTCTCTCTCTCTCTCTCTCCTCTCTCTCTCTCTCTCTCTCTCTCTCTCTCTCTCTCTCTCTCTCTCTCTCTCTCTCTCTCTCTCTCTCTCTCTCTCTCTCTCTCTCTCTCTCTCTCTCTCTCTCTCTCTCTCTCTCCTCTCTCTCTCTCTCTCTCTCTCTCTCTCTCTCTCTCTCTCTCTCTCTCTCTCTCTCTCTCTCTCTCTCTCTCTCTCTCTCTCTCTCTCTCTCTCTCTCTCTCTCTCCTCTCTCTCTCTCTCTCTCTCTCTCTCTCTCTCTCTCTCTCTCTCTCTCTCTCTCTCTCTCTCTCTCTCTCTCTCTCTCTCTCCATTCTTTTTTTTTAAACTCAGAAAATGTATATTTCAATTGGAATATATGAAGCCATGTGATCTTGACAGCGGTCATTATTGTGACCCAAGATCACCAGCTCCTCGATCACTAACCAGTTCCATCCCGCGGGGGCCACGCGCGTCCAAGATGATGCTCATCCATTATCCAATTGGAGCTCGGATAACCGGCTGTTGCCAACTGATTCATTCGCTCTTCGCCGGCCGAGAGGATGTACGTCACGCGAATTTGTCCAGGGATTATCCAATTGTCCTTCGAGGTCTTGCGGCCGCCTCCTTGAGAGTCCGGTGCCGGCCAGTATCGTCTCGGTCTTTCTATTGGAGATATAGCTCGACCCTTTGCCACGTAAGATGATTGAGGTATTCCTTCACTTCTGTTTTGTTCCTCTTATATTCGTATTTTCTCGTGTTGTTTTTTTATGTTATTTGCATTAAGTGAAGTGATATGAATAATTACACCTCATGTTTTATTTGAATTTTATCTACTCCTGCAAAACGTTTCGAAAATTGGCGCCCTGTTTAAAAAATTCAAAAACAGAATTTTTAAAATTATTTTTGAAATCGAGGAATAATTTCAAACTCAAAACAAGAGTTCTTATTTCGATTCCTAAACCATAACCCTGATTATGACATACAACGATTGGGTCGATACGTCGGCTAACTCGTTAAATTGATTTTGATTGTAAATCCTGACAATTTTGTTGAATAATTTTTACTTAAAAAAAAAAGAAGATATTTTTAAAAATTTTCTTGAAGTAATTCATTCCGCCAAAAAGTCGATGTAAAAAATGTTAATCAAGCAGTATCTTCTTAGACACTTAAATAAAGAACCTATTAAAATCAAGTAATTCGCTACGATAAAATTATGTCTATAATCTAAGCCCAATTTATTTTTATTACAGAATATGAATAAAAAAAATTAAACTTTCATAATAAACTCATTACAAAAAAGCCCTATAGAAGCTTGGACGCTTAGTACTTATGGTGTTGATCTATAAATATATTTGAAAATTAGTTGGTCGGGGGGAGGGGTCAAATAAATACTAAATTATTTAAACATAGTATTTTTAATTATTACGCCGACGTTTCGACCCACCTTGCAGGTCTTCATCAGGGCGTGGCATGTTGCACTGCAAGAGGCAGTGATTGACTGCAGCAGTTATCTTTTTGAAAATTGAGTGCATGTGAAGTGTGAATGGAGTGCATGTGTATTAGAAGTTAATCAAAAGTCTTGTATGATTTTTTTCCATTTTTTTATTTCATTGTTTGATTGAAAAAGAATAGATTTTTTATTTGTTTTGTTGTTGGACAAGGTTAAATATAAGTATCTTCATATCAAAGACGGACATCTATCACTTTTCAAAAATTGGAAAAACAATTTTGTAGAATCGCTTCAATTTAAACCAATCCTAATGATTTTTTTTCATGATACAACTTGAAAATTCTTAAATAAAATTATCACCAGCTTAGGTTAAATTTATTAACCTAACAATAATTGACTTTTCTTTCACTTTCTGAAAATTACAGATGTCTTAGATATAAGGACACTCATATTTATTTTAATATTTATCATATTTTACAATAAATTTCAATTCTATGTTTTAATACAGTGAAGGCTTGATTATCACATCTTGTTCATAGGGAATTTTTTACTAAACATAAAATTATAGGGAATTTTAATGTCAGGATCCGCATTCACAGATAATATTTTTCCAAAACTATGTTTGTGCGGTGTGGGAAAATGTTAGATTTTTTTTTCCTTAATCTTCTAATAATTTATCTTATTAATTAGTGATAAATATTTTATTAAATACGACTTGATGTAAAATACTGATATTTCTTGATTATATTATATTATAATTTTCCGTCATGCGCATTATAATTCTATTCGTTTCCTGGTAACACATTCGCAGTACTGAACACCTGGTTTGCCCTTGGCATGCGACATAGCGTAGATTGCGTGGCGTCTGAATATTAGCTGATAGTTTCACATATTTATGCCTGGTTTCCCTCACTAATTGGATTAATTTTATTACGTTCTCATCCGATGTTGTGTAAGTCTTTATTATAATATTTAATCAGGTTTAACTGGTTTTAAAAATATTTTTTATCATATATATTAATTAATTATATAAGTATAGGTAATTATCGATTTATAAGCAAAGCTGTTAGCTAACGCTAGCCTTGAAATGATTTTATAATGCGGCAATGCACGTTGATTCAATCAATAACTTTATATTTTTTAATTAAATTATAAAATTTAAATTAATTAAATCCATTATCATTTTATGTTTACTTTCTTGTCAGCAGCCCCTAACTAACTTTTTGAATAACTTCAACCTTCAACAATATCTGTACGACTAATTTATACAACATATAATCAAGTGAATTATTTTTTTTTTTAATATTCGTCTTAATGTTTAGGGAAAATCTTACTATGAGAATGTTGTGAATAAATTATTTTCAAAAATAAATAAATAAAAAACATAAGCAGCAGAGCTCCATCATTGAGATCGTATTTTCCCATATTTTGTGTACGAAAACAGATGAAAAATGATTTAAGTGTTTCATTGACTCTTACCTGAGATAATATTACACAATTTCAAAATCAATTAAAACGCTTGAAATTCCAATATTTTGTATTTTAATATTTCATCATTTGTTTCTGAATTAAATTTGTTGAATTAAGATACACAGAGTAGAGACGCTATTCACGCTACTCAGATTACCTTGTACCAAGTATTTTACTCAAATTTAATCACTATTGGGAATTCAATCACTACTTCAGTTAATCGTTTGACATCAACTGAAGTAGTGATTAAATTCTTTGGTACATAAAAAAGGGCCAGTATTTGAGTAAAATACTTGGTACTCGGTACTCCGAGTAGCATTTGCCCATCTCTGGAGTAGGGTAGTCAATCTAGTCTGTGCGAGTCGCTTCCTGTAGTCTGTTGGGTGTTACATAGGTAGGGTGGATGGTTAGAACAGATTTATTTACTGTATTTTTTTTTATTTCTTATTTTCTGAGAAAATATGACTAAGAAATAAAGGTATTGTATCTTCTTTCTTGAAAATTGGTATAGTCAAGTCAATGAGTGATCAAAAAGGTGATATTGAGGGAAATGAAAGGAACACAATTTTTAACTTAGGACTTTGTTCGGACTTGTAAGGAGGTAAACATACCAAAAATCCCCACTCCTCTCAAGATATTTTATTAGTCACCTTTTTTAAAAACAAAGCAAGTTAAGATAGAATTAGAAAAATCGTAGATAATATACAATTACACTTGCTGCGGTCTGTTTCATGTTTTCCGTTTGACCTTTAGTTCGAAAATTTATAACCTCGTCGAAATTTGCCCCCTCAAAAATCTGTCAAAATATTCCCCCACAAAAAGTCTTGCGCCTTGAAGCCTACTTCTGAGCAACCTTGGGGAGACACCCAGATCGTCACTTTTCTCAATTCTTTGCTTATATCTCGAAAACTGTACTAGATAGTGAATACATGAACATCATCAATCTTGATGTAAATTTTATCAGCTTTATATAAAACGTCTTTTTCGCTAGAACGTATAGTTTTCCTGATATAAGCAAAGAACCAAAAGAAAGTAAACTACTGGGTCATCCCTCCCTCTACGATTGGTTGACTACCTAGGAGTGGGAACTTTTGGTATGTTTACCTCCTTACTAGTCTGAAATAATGAAATATATTTCTAAAAAATGAAGTAATCTGAGTTCAATTTCCATATAAATTATATATTTTTTAATTTTTTCAAAAGTCATAATCAAATCTTCCTCTCTTCACACCGTTCATTTGGCTATTTGCGAAAATAGAAGGCCTATGGCGTTGTTTACCAAAGAGGAATTTCTAGGCCGCGTGAGGCCGATTTAAACAAAGCTCGCTCACTGCTAGGCCGAGATAGTTCTAAGAAGGTTGCTTTGCTCTCTGTCTCTGACAGATAGAGGGCGCTTTACTAGATGAATAGCAGAGTTGACGATTAATTGTTTTCGAAAATAAACTGGCAAGATTGTGGCTAAATGACACAAAATGGCGGCTGCGCTGTCTGGGAAAATGCCACCCGCGACGATGGGAATTGGGTCACAGGGCAAAGGAAGGAGGCAATGTGTTGTCTAACCGAAATAGAGATTATAGGTCAGCCATCTTATAGCTCCTTCTATTTTATAGTCTAGGCCTATTTTATCTCAGCCATTTAATTTTTGCTACACGTCCAGAACAAGTTATAATTTTTATTCCTGACTTTTATTATGATTATTACATTTCCTTCTGTTTTTTTAAGGATGTGAAACATGCGCAGTTGGTTTAGAAGCAAAACAATTCCTTGAAGCTTCCGGAAACAAAATAGTGCGTTGAATATTTGTTCCTAAGAAGGGTGAATCAAATAGGTCAACTTTGATAGTCGTGCACCTACGAATCACTTGCCCTTGAGTTGGATGAGAATATAATTGAAATAGCTGTACAAATATAGCAGTTATCTTATATATTATTTCTAAAAGGTGTTTTTTATTTATTTTTTTAGCAACACCAGTTCTTCATCAAATCCAATGATTGAGCCCTCATTTTTAAGATCTTCTTCACCTTCTGGTGGAAAAAATAATCACATCTCCCAGGAATTTAAGGGGAAAAGGTTATGAAGGAAAAGAAATTTATTTGTAAATAACTTGAAATAATTAGAAAGATTACTAAATTACCTACAAAACGAAAAAAAAAATCGTCAAAATCGGAGAATTATTAACAAAGGTACATACAGTCCAATAGTTTTGGTATACTTATTGATTTCTTCCTCTTTAAAGATACTGGATTTCCTATTCTGCTAGGCTTTATATCCTGGTGGACTTATACTTTAATATTTCTTGAAGGCATTTTTTTGTTTGTACATTTTATATTTTTCAATAACTTTGTAAATCCCATGATTGATCTTTTTTTTTAATATTACCTTTCCAGTCAGCGTTTAAAAATATTCCCTAATAAAGCAGTTTTGTACAAATATTTTGGTTTATTATGTGAAATGTGATATTGTAACTGACCAAGGACAAACCAATTATTTCCACTTACATTATACATAGAATCTATTTATTTCCATATTGTTTTGCTATTGCTTCACTAAACAAAATGGTCTACGAATTATTCGCACGAGCCAACTAGTAGTTATCAAATTGGAGGGGGTGTGAACTATGAACGGATTATCAATAGTTCATTTCATAGAGATTCCACAGCTCCTAGATGACCACCTAGTTTTTATTCTTTCCGTTTATTGAAACCACAATACGATTTCGATACTGCCACACGAAGCAATTCCAGTAATATGTACTGGAAAAAAGAGCTATTTTCATTCCGCCT